TCTTGAAGTTAAACGAGTATAAATGTATAAAACTTATAATTAATTTATAATGGTTTGCAGCGCTTCTCCTTATTGCTCTTTTCTGATTGTCGGTTGTTCGTCTTCTGTACCTGCCATGTTTTAAATAAGGTCGCACTGCTTGAAAATCCATGCTGACAGAGTAAGACATCGCGAAGAGCTAGCCATTTTATACCCTGAGAAACATGGAACACATTCCTTTTGGGTTGATTCAATTTTAATTTAGGTTCTGCAAACTTTATATAAATTGGTAAACAAAATTAAATGAGTACATGTTTAATTACACTCCATAAGCATGTATATTTAATAACTAATTAATTTCGTCAGTTTCCAGAAAATACATATTTTGCACAATCTGGCATTGATGCACTGTATAACGCTAGCTGTCACACATTTGTCATTGTAGCCTAAGTTACGCGTTTAGTCTAAATAAAAGGAACGTTTTGCACAGTTTAGCATCGATTCATTGTGTATCACTAGCTTGCACACATGTGCGAGTGGTAATCAAATAAGTCACGCGTGTATATAGTCCAAAGCATCACAATGCAATGGGATATGTGTGAAATATTTTAAGTAAGTCCAATTAAAAAAGGTATGGAATGTAATCAAAAGTGAGTATAACACATATTATTGCGGAATGACACACTATAAATGGACAGTAAGTTAATATTTAACTATAGATTTAAAAAAACAAGAGTGAAAATAGAGGTGTTAAAATGTCAACTCTAGTGTGGGACTCGAACCATCATATTGTTTAATTTCTGCATACTTCCCTGTCATTGGATACCATAGTAGGCTTATCACCCGTGTCGCTGTGCAAACCACCGCCGTTTTGTTATATTACATTTACTTGCATCAAGGGTTTGCTTTTATATAATTCTGTTATACCCAGATTGTCAATATAAAGCGCTTTTACTAAATATCTACTATTCTACAGTAGGACCCTAGCTTTTAGACCAAGTTCTTCTGTATAACGGGCGGACTCTGTGTTTCGTGATAGCTGTCATGAAACGTAGGGTCCGGTTAAATGCAGGGTCCGGGGGACCCTGTATATTATATTCAATTATCATGATACAGAGTCCGGGACTCGTTATTTCAGAAACCAGGGGTCATACGGACCCCTGGTTTCTGAAATAACGGGTCCCGGACTTTCTGTCATGGGAGACCTTCTGGTACATGACACCGGCTATTTGAAGAGAGGTAAAAAAAATGAGATGAGAAAAACTTAACAAAGAATGAAATGCAACGGTTGGGTCGAAATCGTCACCGTGCTCCGTAGAGAAAAGAGCAAACTGACCAGCAGTATTATCACGATGCCTTTTAAATTAGCCATGAATAAAATATGATTTGATAAGATAGGTCACTGTTAGTTTAAAGTATTTCCAGACAGTGTAGTGTTTACGTTGAAATCGACACTGTTGAGATTTAAGCTTCTCTGACAATATTGAATTGCACGATTAATTTTGATAATGATTTCATGATCGATTTTGTCCAGGAGTAACAGCCTTGGCTTATCGTATATTATCATAATTGTCTCTACGTATTCTTTTAAACATATTTATTGTATTTTCAGAGGTTTTCAGGCTTTTTTCATTAATTTATAATAAAATATTACTTAAAAATAGACAATCTTGGTTACTTATGTATATTTTAGTACAAAACATCCTTTTTGATACTGTTCTTTTTTATAATTGCTTATTATTCCAACATGCTTATTTGATTTGTTTACTTGTTAACAATTTTGTTATTTCACTTCTTTGTAAAAAGAGGACAAATAGCAGTTAGATTTCACACAATTGCCGCAAGTTGTACTGCTTCTGTAATCGCAAACCGATTATCAAGAAATAAAGATAAATGTTGATTGTTAAACTACATGTATTAAAGCGTTGTTGCTAGCATATATCTAAATCTACGGCTTTGGTCGGGACAGGTTAATGGGAATATTATTTTTCAAAGCCTTATATACGGATTTAGGTACATGAGCCATAATAACACACTGTTTACATCGATTTCATGTTTAATAGATCATCATTGACGTTTGAGGTATACTATACGTATCAGCGATTGAAAATGTCCAAATCTCATATTTTTTCCTAAAGATCATGCACAGCTACTGATGATTCCCTTTATTATTGNTGTCATTGTAGCCTAAGTCACGCGTATAGTCTAAATAAAAGGAACGTTTTGCACAGTTTAGCATCGATTCATTGTGTATCACTAGCTTACACACATGTGCGAGTGGTAATCAAATAAGTCACGCGTGTATATAGTCCAAAGCATCACAATGCAATGGGATATGTGTGAAATATTTTAAGTAAGTCCAATTAAAAAAGGTATGGAATGTAATCAAAAGTGAGTATAACACACATTATTGCGGAATGACACACTATAAATGGACAGTAAGTTAAATTTTTTTATAGATTTAAAAAACAAGAGTGAAAATAGAGGCGTTAAAATGTCAACTCTAGTGTGGGACTCGAACCAACATATTGTTTAATTTCTGCATACTTCCCTGTCATTGGATACCATAGGATACCATAGAAGGCTTATCACCCGTGTCGCTGTCCACTACACCACCAGGTCGTTGGGCAAACCACCGCCGTTTTGTTATATTACATTTACTTGCATCAAGGGTTTGCTTTTATATAATTCTATTATACCCAGATTGTCAATATAAAGCGCTTTTACTAAATATCTACTATTCTACAGTAGGACCCTAGCTTTTAGACCAAGTTCTTCTGTATGACGGGCGGACTCTGTGTTTCGTGATACCGGCGTTGCAGGGCAGAGGAATATTGAGAAATTGAAAAGGTTTGTTATGACTCGAGCAACATGCCACCTGGCTTACGTTGTTGTTGGTTTTAGATAAAGCGTTTCAGGTGACTGTTATGAAGGATTTCCCCGTGTTTATTTGTGGAACAATACGCAACTCTAAACGGCATATCATAGCACGCGAGAACAATGCACTAGAGAAGAGTAAACTCCGTTTCAAATACCTCTCACGACTGCCCGAGTTAAAGGGAAAAAAAATTTGTTGTTGTTATGAACCTGTAGGGGATATTTTGTTATCATTAATTTTCCAATATCACGAGTTCGTCTGCATCATCTCCCTTTTTCTGCAATAACAAAAGTGAGTGCATAAAGGACCAGACAAGTCAATCTTGTTGCTTACGAATTATTGTTGTTTTTTGCTTTGACAGAAAAAGTTTTGTATGACGAATAAGTTCTTAAAATACACAAAAATTTCCAATCATGTCATAAATTCAATATTTCATCACAGTATCACATCTAACGCTTTCGCATCCAGTCACAATTATTTACATGATGTCATGTCACCAGCTAGCCAAACTGAAAAAGATTTTATAATCTCCAGTTCCAAAATCAATTAAAATTTTGATTTTATTGTATTTTGTTATAAAAATATCAGAATATTTCAAAGGATCTGAACAACGATCCTTATTTCACATCATTGCTACTTTGATATAGTGTTATGCAGAATCGGTACAGTTAGATATATGGATAGGCAGTTCTGTGATAGATTACCAATACAGGACTCAAATGTGCCATATCGAAGACAAATAATGAATTTCCAGAACCGACATCACGGACGGGGTGCGATATGGTAATGAATTTCTGTAACGACCACAATAGTGAGAAAATCATCTGCACAACACTTTTGGAAGCGATGCTATTCAATCCAGAAATAGGCGAAGCTGGCGCTGTTTGAGGAGAAAGTATAAAAAAAATGCTAGAAAATCTGTGTCAACAATTCGCACCTTACATATTGCATTTATACGCCTTTAATGGGATAAATACATAACTACAATGTGTGCATCATATTTGAAACTATCTTCTGTCATTACAGTTATTGATGATCTCAACATCAACCTTTATTTTCCAAACTTTATTTGAAATAACCTTATGAATAGTTAACGCACGAGTCAGATATAATTTTGCAGCGCAGTGAGGGTATCTCATCAGGTTCGCGTGTTGTTATCGATGATTCAGTGACTATTGTCATATTTATATATCACAAATGCTTACACTGTCAGTGTTTGAAAACCCAAGCCAGAGTAGTTTTTTTTTTTTTTTACTGTTTAAGGGATTTTTACTTGTCACTCTTGTTTACTTTCTAATAGGGGGACTTGAGACCAATGTATGATAGAATTACCGTTTCCATTTTCACTTGAGTCAACAGTTGCCCTTTACCGATAAAAATAACTGGATTCCGTCACCTGGAAGATACGGAGGCTAATAATACTCTTTTTACGCGACTTTGATAGCTTTCGGTATTTTCCATTCACAATTATAACAATTGATTTATGAAATATAAACAAATAAGTAAAACGTTTTCTCGATAAACGTCCCATTTTTGTTCGGCAATTACTGTTACTGGTCAATATGAGTGTTATTAATTCTCTTCTTAGACTATCAAAGCAAGTACAAGTTATGAAAAACACCGATCCAAACACTTACAGTTAATGACCAATTCATTCCCAATGGAATACAAGTTGGTCATTACTGAAAGATCTACATTTTGAAACAAAAAGTTGCCACTGGTCTGAAATGAAACGTATTACAAGTTATTTTCAAGGTAGACTTGGCTACCGAGTTGGTTGTCACACTTGTCCAGTCTGGGATTGTCCTCGGCCCAATGTCGGATCTGGGGAAACGGGTGCGAGCCTTCCAACCCCCCATTCCTTTCTCAATATGTGTGTGTGATAAATCCAGAACGTTTTCCATAGTATTTAGTAAAATTGACCTGGTCCTTCGTTCCACATTTGCACTCTTCTTCCCCCACCCCCAGAAAAATCCTGGACCCGGCATGACAGGAATGGAATTCGGGGTCCCATTCGATCTGTACAGGTTAGGTTTAGGTCCTTGTAGTACTGGGTTAGTCGACTACAACATACCACTCCTGTCACGCTGGCAGTACTCGAAATAAACCACAACTTGTGTGGACCAGTAACAACATCTATGCATTCTCAGGTGTGATTATTCTATTTTATTCACGTTCCAGCTGACATTGAAAAGTGAACCAGTGATTTTGGACCATTAGTGATTATCTTGTGTTCCTTTTTAACAAGGGTTTAAAATGCGTTTATATTTACAGAAGGGCGAATGACTAGCATTCAATTCGATGCATCCCGTATATTTGTGTATATTGAAACGCAGTATTATAACCCTGTTGTCAAAAGATGAAAAATGAAAAAGTTTGAGATTTTTATGACACCACATCGAAAATATAAATAGACAATGGCGTTTTATGCCTTCAAAAGTTAAGAAAAGATGGCCGACTGATGATAATGACACACGTGCACTGCACAGTCCATCATCCACCGCCATCAATTCATCATTTCCAGTCTATTTGCACTTGTTTAAGTCTTGTGGCCTAAAGCGTTCCTTTTCCACCAAACATCCTGACACTGGAGAGATAGGCTAAAGTCTGGTCGAGTTCACTCTTGTATCCAGTCCTTGATACAGGGGTCCCAGGCGATTATCTCTTCCGGCTTGAACCAAAGACTGATCTCGCGGTTAGCGCTCTCAACAGAGTCACTGCCGTGGCAGATGTTTCTGAAACACCAGGAAAATCGAATACTTGAAATACTTTTTTAAAAAATTGAAAAAGGAAACAATTAAGAAAGGTCTAAATTCACACTGGCAGTTAAATGAAATGAGACTGAAGCTACTAACTGTTACCCCTGAGGTTAGTTCACATGCACAATCCGACTGAAATTGATAAAAATCAAACTTTTACATGTTAAACTCAAACCACTAAAAATGTACTGCAAGAATTCCTCAAACTTTTGCAACCATTTTTATGTGGCTTCTTTCTCTTTGGATTTTAATCATTCATCAAAATTACATATTTGATGGCTTTCTGAAGATAGGGACACATTTAAGTAAGGTGATAGATAAAATACTTTTTTATTACTATGATTAATTCACTCTTTCATCTTAAAATAATGTCTGAATTATAACTTTCTAAGACCAGTAAAAGAACAAAAATATAATCTAATATATCAAGTAGATGCCAAATACTCATCACTTTATTACTCAAATTATCACAGATCTCAAAGAAGTATGGAAGACAGATACATCTATGGCATTAGTTTAAATATGAATATTGCCTAAATCAAAACTTCACATATCATAAAATTTTCTTGTTAGGAAATCAACTGCATGCAGTTTTTAATTATTTTCCTGACATTTCCCTTTTTAGAATTTAAAAATTCTGGGTTCACAGTTTTGAGCCATTTCTTGTTTTAAATATCCTTGGTAAACAGCTACTGCAGGCCATAAGACATAAATGATCATGGTTTGGTATTAACATCATGGTCTGGTATAGACAATCCCATTAAGTCTGACCAAACAAAATTACTGATTTTCCCCAGATTTGAGGAGCTTTTTACAGATTTCATTTCCCTGACTTTTCACAGACGGGAAAAGAGAAAGTAAATATCCCAAGTGTCCTCCAAATTTAAGGCAATCTGGGAACCCTGTATAAATATATATTTTCCATACCTTCCCACTTCAATGCAGAAATCTCCTCTGATGGTCCCTGGTGCCGATGCTAAGGGGTTGGTCTCACCTAGCATCTTACGCCCAGTCTTAACCGCATCCTTGCCTTCCCACACCTGAAAATAAATAGACAAGGCAGTCCACATCACATCAACTAATACTGTGCACAGTCAAAACTGACAGTTAAATCCAATGACAACATCACAATAAAAGGCCACATATCACACTTTGGCAAGACTACAATTACATGGTCTGCTAAGAAAGTGCATATGTAGTTTAACTGTCCCAGCTTCATGAATGGGAATGAACCTTAAAACCAGAAGAGTGTTGAGTAGGTAAGTGATTGCCGCATCCGTCTCCTGTAAGCATAGTACATTTAAATTAATGTGAACAAAGTAACTACATTTTTTTTTCTTTCTTTGGCACAAATGTGACCATACAATATAGCCACGGTGCTGAGCTATCCTCCTATTTAATTGTGCAGCAAGTGGACCTTCTGGTGCTCACTGAAACCAGGACAGTCAGTAGGTCAACACTTGGGCCATGTTTTATGAACTCATTTGGGACCAAGAAAGGCAGCATGATTAGGAAGTTTCTCCATGCCTATGCCATTTTGGATGTATTTCTAGTCTATATGTAACAAAAATTGTCAAACTTCCAGTTTGGGAGTTCACCCCACTTGTGCACTGGTTACTGGTGTATGTGGACAGCAGATGTGGTGCCTGTACCAGGTATGTACCACCACAGCTGTAGACAGTAGCACATGGGGAGGTCAGGCAATAGGGCAGGATGTCTGGCATAGGATACAATTATGAGTAATCAAGGAGCCAAATATAGTCACTGCCACTTCATGTGAAGTCTAGCCTAGTACAGTCTTGACAAAAGAACAGATGGGCTCCAGTTCAAAGGTGGTCAGGCATGAGCCCAAGTTTTAAAGTTATAAAAAAAAACTTTTAGTGTGCTATCAAACTCTTCATCAGCTTGAGTCAAGGGTCTACTTCTGATTCCATCCGCATTGAATTAAAAATATCAGAATTGCATGATTTTGAAGAATTAGTTCCACGCCCTATTGCTTACATGATTATCTGGTTTATACTGTCAAAGATAACTATTTTCTTTGCAGTCATTCTTTGGCATGGCACAAATATTATTAGCACTGATGGCATGTTCAGCAACAGGTGTTCTAACGGTAAAATCATGTAAAATTATTTATCTGATTTCAATTATCAATCTTCCACAGGGAAGATAACCGTAAGAAATGGAAGAAAAATATTCTCCTTGGGCATCACAGGGTTGAAATAAACTTTCAGAAGATTTACTATATTAAACCAACTTTTTAAAGTATATTTTTGTTTTTATTACCTAATTAATTATAGAAGAATTCTTTACTCACCATAGCGACCACTGGCCCGGAATTCATGTAAGCAACCAAGTCCTTGAAGAACCCCTTTGAGCTAAGATCTTTGTAATGTTCCTCAAGATGAGGCTTGGAGGCCTAAAATGATTGTGAAAACATAGCATGCAGTACCTTGTATAACAATCCATCATGCCATAGGAGAGTTACATTGTAGGCTGTTAACTAAAAAAAATGTAACAAAGATCTCCTGTGACCTTGGAGGTAAAAATGTTAAGCCAAGACTTACAAAAATATTTTCCTTATAATGAGTATCATAATCTATGATAAACTGAAAATCTTCAATTTTGCAATTAATACTGATCTCCCACTTTTTCCACATCTACGACTTGGTATACAACAGATTTGGTTCCAGCTACCTTTCAGAAAAGATTTAACACAAGTTGAAGGAGTCGGATGACCTTGAAAGGTACACAGGACAAACGCAAAGCTTTTTGCAAATTTATATATTTTCTCTCATATTGAATATATGCTGATAGCACAATAAGATATGGTAGGCCCAAAAGACCTAATTTACTAATCGTTTTGTTGATTAGCATCTCACCTAACGCACTGTGACGAAGTTCAGGACACGTGTTGAGCGTGTCTTGTCGTCTGAAAAATTATAGCTTATCTACAAAACTGCTTAGAGGTATACACCAGCCACCAATTATTAATGAAATATATAGACAAGCAAAAAGAGAAATTATACCGTCGACACGCAAGTGCCTTTATTTCGACTCATGACATAAAGACTAAAACCAAATTGACCTTGAGAAAGTGCTTCGGCCGGCAACCGGTCGATAGCAACTCGCTTCCTCACTGGGCTGACAATACGTACGTGCATCATTTTCATGGCCCTTAGCGTGTAACCTCTCTGCTCGAACCTTTTGACGATTTCCCCGACCAGCCCACGCTGGACGCCGTCTGGCTTAACCATGATAAAACTACGTTCGGGTGTCTTTCCAGCCATGGCTTTGTACAATGCAGATAGTAAAGTAAGCAAGGTCGCGAACATGTGGGACCAAATATGGCGAGAGACAGGTCTCTGTAGATTAATAGATATTTACAATTCTGTTATACTATTACAATAAGTATGTCGCATATATCGCATTTACGCAGTAATTGCATTTATAAAAAAAATTAAAATAATATTTGTACAAAAGTAATTTATAATTTGTTCCTAAAGAACTTAAATTGATTTATACTCATCTTATATTAGTCTATAAAGACTTGTTTTTAATGGCTTCAAAGTCTCGCGAGATCAACATAGGGTCGATCAATGATTCAATCTGTTGCACTGGCCGCCTTCAACTCGTTGTAAAGTCCTTAAATATACATACATTAAACCTTACAATTTATGTGGGGAATTTCACAGAAAAAAACACTACTGTTAATCTAACTTAGATATCGTTTTATATTTCATTTTCGTATTCATTTTCATATTTATTTATTTATTTATTACCAGCTATGGGCGAGACGCTCATCATTAGTTCTGTGGTCTTATTTCAGTTATTTAAGTGTAGATGTGGGATGCAATAATAAATACAGCTGTGCTTCCATGAATTAATTTTAGTCATATTTGCACTCACATATAAATATAAAGTCTAACGTCACTGTAGGCCTATTATAAACGTAAGATTTTGCTCCGAGACAGGTAGCTACCTGTCAGCGTAGTTAATTAGCCAGATCTGACTGAATCTGGTTGGACCTGTGGATAACATGCATGCAGCAAATTGAATCAAGATTGCTGAATTAGATCCCATTCCCATACCTAGATCGATCTAACAGGATCGACCCATCTCCGAGGGCCGGGTTTCTCGCTAAATTGCTTTTAGCTTCAGCGGCTTACATGTCTGTCACGCCTACTGAATCTACTGAACGATAGTGAATTACCCCCTTGCAGCTTCAGCAGATGTGCCAGCACCAGAGCCGCTTAAGCGCGATGATGAACTGATCAAGGGGCAAGGGGACACACCTTACCCCACAGCATGCATGAAGTCACTCGCTACCCCCTTCTCCCTAAACACAGGGTCCGCTAGTAGTCTGTTACAAAATTATTGTTTCCTTTCATTTTGAAATCTATTTAGATATCAGAGGGTATGGACATAAAAATGGGAAAAAATGGCACCCACTCCCTTAGAGATATCCTAAGCCCGCCGCTGACTAAGACTATATATGTTGCTATCAAATGATTTGGAATTAATAGCCGTGTCCATGCAAATAGCACGTGCTGTGCATGACAGAGACAACTGAAAATTAATTCGAACTGTCTCTGCGCTCACGTAGCTAATCATAAAAAAACACTCATTAGTGTAAACATATTAACTAAGGGTAGACCTAAATTCGCAATTTGCCCAGCGAGATAATACGAACGTATTGACTTTTTCGAAATGAAATAACCGTCAATGATATAATATGGAATTTAATAAGATGATGAAAGGCGAAATGATTGGAAAACAAATGATGTTGTTCTGCCACCACGACTACCCTCAGCTGGTCGTAAATTCTCTTGATCTTTGAGAAGATGAAAGGTGCGCAACGAGCGTTCGACCTTCATAGAGCAAAATGCAATTTGCCTAGATATTCAACATTTTCTCTTAAGCACCAAGGTAAATCATATCCATATTTTTCTTCAAATAATGTTAAAGATATAAGAAATTTGGGTAGGTTTCTGATACAAGCCTGTCATAGACGCCGAGCACTATTCTACTGGTACGGCGTTTGTCTTTGATAACACTATTCTTACACAATTCTTATCGTGTCAGTCCTCCAAAAGTTTGTACATGTTCTTGCAAAATTAATGCCAAGCTGACACGATTATAAATCAAATCATACTGCATTAAAAAAGCTTACAGAATTACCATTTTGAGTGTTAAGTTTCTAAGTTTCGAGTCTCTAGTATAATGAAAATAGTCTGGCGAATTTCACTCGTGGAAGTAAAAACGAAGAAACTAAAATTCGAAAAGGGGTATATTATTCTGCACGTCTCGGCAAGTCCACCCAAGTTACTGATTTCCTCCTCTCTGTGGCTTGTCTATACCAAACTATTTCAGCAAAGGTTAAAACACTTTCAATAATGCAGTTATAAAAATTAGATAAAATCAATTGGTTTCCTGTGAGTTTTCTTCAAAAGTAAGTCCGTTGTTCTCGCTTTCTTCACCTGTTTGTGCGTATGGGTATGCCAATCCAAACAGTGTAAAATCACCCACTTGTTTAACTACAGTGTTATCAATGTAAACAGCTTTTTATCTGTCTTTTTTTCTAAAATCAACTACCATTTCATTCGTTTTCCCAACAATCCTCAACGGTTAAGGACAGTGTATACCTCGTTGCTTTGATAAATTGATGAAATTTCCAGGAAATTAATTTCTTGCTATATGAGACGCTAACGCGCATCATATTCCTAAGCAGAGTCCTAAATAAGACATACTATGTCAAGTACATTAAGTACTGGTTCAGATTTCTGTGTATAAACAGCGACAGGCTGCCCAAATTTTGCTATATTTTTTTAGTTGGAAGGGAGTGGGAGAAATACATGGGCGAGTGACATAAAGCATCTTTTATATTCATATGGATTTGGAGTAGTATGGGAAAACCAAGGCTGTGGAACTTTCATAGAACTGTTTACAGAGCGATTAACGGACATAAGCAAGCATAACTGGTGTTCGTCAATACGCGAATCAGACAAGCTAAGGACTTACAGCTCTTTTGAATTAGATTTAGTACTTGAGAAATATTTATATTGTTTTTTTTTTTTTTTTGTGTCCATAGCAAGACACAGAAAGAGGAGCATATGTTAATGTCGTGTTGTTTTTATGAAGAACTGAGGTGACGCTATATTTCCCCGAGATTTGTACAATGTCACTGACTGCTCTGTCATCACATAATGTTGATTTATAAAAAGACTGGCGACCTACTTATATCACGCTAACAAGTTAAGAGAGGGATTTTTACATGGGAGAATTTATTGAAGTCTGTATTATAATGTTGCTGCCGTGCGAGCCAGCTCATTATTACTAATATTATTGTAATATATGCACTTATGCCCTTTAGTATTGATAAGGTATAACTGACTTTACAGGCTCCAACCAGTTGTCCATCGTGCACTTTCAGTTGATTTCACCTGTCCAGTAGTTATAGTGATGGTAATCGTCGCGTGACGGATTAGATTTAACATTGGTCAGTCACCAGTACAGACCCATATAAAGTCCCCAAAAGACAGTTATGTTGTTCTTGAGAGTCCGCCTTGATGCCAGTCTTTATGATAGTATTTACAACGAGAGTGACCTGATGCGAAACACTTAAACCTACTTCTTCTTTTTGATAAATATAGGAATTCGATTTCGTTTTTTATGCTTCAAATTTTGATACGGGCTATATGGGAAACAGGTAAGGATAGTCTTTCTTTAACTATTGTTGTTTTCGTTAACCGACTCGTACATGTTGTTTATTTACGTCTTAACCGCTGATCCAAATATTGTTTTTCTAACCACCACATTCGTGTTTCATTACTTTTGTGTCTCCTGTCGCTGCAAAATCATGAAAACTGTTCGACTAAATCAAGAAGCTACTAGAGATTTACTAATCTTTATGAAATCAAATGTTTTTTTCACCCAACAAATAAGCGCCGTCCATAAGTCTGTGCAAGGTGTAAACTGTCGTGAGAAACGGTTTAGGGGCGACCGTACATCCACTACAAGACGTTTTTACATTTCCGTATTCAATATGAGCCTGTCAGTTGTAAATCTAGACTGTTGGAGGAGATTTTTGCATCTTGGTGTTTTACACTAATTTACGATCTACTTCAACTCAGGTTGAACTTGGACATAATCACGTAATTTTGTCCATGGGCTGAACAGGGACTTTGGTTTGAAAGGTTGAATAATTCAACGACAGAAAACCTTTCGTAAATGTTGATAAAATCTGTTAATGATGGATGACTGAAATTCTCCGTGGACCACTCACGCTGTAATTCTAGTAAGGCAGAAACGTGATTGAATGAAGTATTTTTAGTTATTAAGGGTCTGGTCAATTCGCGAAAATAATTTAAAAAGTTAAGATTTTTTCTTTTTTATTCAATTTCAATTTCTGATTTTTCCTGACCAGTCTCATATGAGCCTGCAATCTGTAGATTTCACTTTCTCAATTATTGATTTAAAAGTCCGACACACTTTGTCCTCCGGTTGGTAACCGAATCGTAACGATTCTTTAATTTGATTAGTACGACCATTCAGAAGCTGAGGAGTGCAGGCACTCATAGGACGTTAACTTTGGTATTAGATATCTGCACGGCGGAGTTTAGGTTCGTGATAATGATGTAATCGCTGATAATAATGATGTCATCGATTCGGAGTAGATGGTCCACATTTACACAGTACGTTATTCCGAGCACCAAGTGCACCCAGAGAGCTTCATCTCATTTAGTGTTTGGTCTCACCGATGAATATTTTATACTGCTCTAGAATTCGAAAGGGCCCCTGGATATAAATGACTTAATTCCCAGAATGCAGACAGCTCAAGGAATGAAGGACTGACTGATACTTCATAGGAGGCCTTGTGATCACTGTGTTTTTTATAACCTTTGGTTATAACCTTTGGTTCAAAACGTCTTTGATCATAACGTAAGGAGAAAATACGTAGTAGTCTCGTTAACGCATCGACTGCAAGCTCAAGAGGGCAGGAGTACCCGAAAGACAAAAACGGTGAGGAATTGTGCTTAGCTTGGGTGAATTCGAATGAAATTTTTGATTGTCTGATAACAAGATATTGTATTTTTGAAGCACACGTTGAGTCGCAAATGTCTCTCTTTCCTCGTTAAGTAGTTATTAAAATCAACTGGAAAATTGAAATACTCAATGCATATCAGCACAACTAGTTCAAGGATAATGATCTCGACAAAGAGGAAGAAATGGTTAATCGCTTTTATCAAAATATTTTTCACGCGTTTTATTAAATGTACTTCTAAAATTAAATGAACGGATTCTGTTCATACATTTTGTATTGCACAATACAGATTTAATATTGACAAAAAGCAGCGTTGCTGTTTTTGAGCATCTATTGCAGAAATAATGGCGCCGTAAAAAACGGTACGCATGCACCTATGTTATATGAACTGTTCCAAATGAATGAATGTTATAAGTATTCAGTAGAATAAGAATGAGAAATATGATGTTGACACCGCAGTGTCGGTAATAGTTCCTAAATATAAGTCCCAGTATCAGAGTTATACATATTCCTCATAAACTGTTACACTTTTACAATAAAATAAGAGACGAAAGGGGTACATATTAGATAATTATTTCGAATTCTACATTTTATTTTCAAAATCTTACATGTACGCCTATGATGTAACTTTTTAGGGTCTATCTTAATTAAAACATACTAATTACTGCTCCAAATCCGCACGTAGCAATAAAAATAGTTCATATTTGCAGCTGTATGTCATCAATCGTCGGAGAGCAATCTTTATTAAAATGTAAGATATTTGCGCCGTTGGATGAAAGTTAGAGTCAGTTTAGTGCAGCGGCGTTCATGCGTAGTAATTCTATCAGACTTATTTTGTTAACTTAATCAATAAAGATTCCCCCCAGGAAATTAGCAGCTAACTTTCACGAATAGGTCAATCATTTACATTTCGGTGTTGCCATTATACAGTATACAACGTAGATGCAATTAGTTATCTGTGAGAATCAAAAGCAGATTATTCTGTGTTAAGGTTCACTCAACCCGTGATTTAGACCGCCTCTGGTCTCCATTACGATCGAGTTCACTACATTCATGATTAAATTGGTCCTGCATGTATACTCTTCTAGGACTGGGTGTCCATTTGCCATAATTTCAACTGAATTTTCGAAACTGTTTTTTGACCAGATTCGCAAAAGTTATAATTTTGATCGATTCTGGGATGTTCTAGGGTTCGCCGTGGTCATGATTGAGATGATTTAGACCAGTTCTGGGGAGAGCAGAGCACATTAATGCTAATTAAGATTGGTTAAGGGGGTTATGATAGCAGGTCCACAGTGACACGATCATAAATTGTTCCAAAGAGTTTTAATCAACTTCAGGAAATAAGGAAGTGAATTACAAGAATGGCCTCTCGGTCAATTATTGTCATAGTACAATATAAGCCTAATTCAATTATCCACGTTGATATCTATCTGTAGGGTTCTGAGCAGGGTTCACATTCCCGTTAATTTAGAACTAGGCTGATTATCAGGTAAGTCGCATAAAGACGGCATTTGTATGATACAATACCGTAGCCATGGGGGGTTCGGGGGGTTCGAAAGAACCGCCCCTTTTGTCAGGAAAAGGTCCATTTTGGGTAAAATTTTATCTAGGTACACATAAGTTTCATTGTAAAAGGTCCACTTTTTCAGAAAAAGAACCCCCCGTTTGAATTTGCTGGCTACAGGCCTGTTGTCTTATATGCACTGGAAACCTTCAGCAGGGCGCTCCCCGCACGCCAATATTGCGCCTTTACCATGTGGTCGTACATGTATAAACTGCTCATAACCTCATAACTCTGACGCACGTGAACGAAGCATAATAATTGTATGTCGATGTCAATGCCAGTGATGAGACGGCCGTTCCGCTAATGCACCGAAGGTTAATTGAAATAAATTCGTTAAATTGCCATTCTCTTAAAGGTGTCTGCTGCAACTTTTACATATGCTCAATATGTGGAAGAGATGCACATGCTAACATATGCTAACATACGAGGTTACTATCCCAAACGAGACGCACATGGTGACGTATACTAGTATGTAAATTCCTTGGATATAATTATCATCTCCTTCGACAGCATCGATTTCATTACAAAAGATAATTTGCTTCAGACAAAAGATTTGGAGTTAATTGATTTTGACATTTTTTGTCTGAAATTATTACTAATGGATGCAACTTGATTTCTTTTGTTCAGAACAACAGGAATAAGACTTACCTGTACACGTGCTTTGTGAATCGCAGGATACACATCAGATATACTGGTATGTTACTCATGGTCACCGTCAACTCTTTCATGTTCGCAGTAAGTAAAGTGGTATACACGTAGGTACAGTATGTACTATTTTGGTCCTTAAAGCAATGCAACAAATATGTCAGATAGTGGTACATGCCTGCAAGGTGATAAAACCGTTCCAACATTGGCTCATGTCCGAGTCTGAAGACTTGAAAGCATAGCAAATTGAAATTCAGTTTCGCAGGCGCTCAGGGTTGTTGTTTTCATTAAACTGTTGCCATATTTGCGTAATCATCATCACTGAAATATTTAGTAAAACTGGCTGCTCTTTCATAGAATTTTTGTTGGAATCAATCTCGATATTTTCTCTCTGGATACAATGTAGCTTGAATATATATATATATTTCAAAGGCATTTAGAACTATTTTATGTATTGAAACTAATATATTATTATTTGTATAAATTTCACCCGAAATACATAAAGCCCCCAAAATATTACAAAAAATGGAAGATGTTTACATTGAAAAATTGCGGTCTGTAGTTTAATATATATATCACTCCTTTCCCACACTGAAAGCATTTGAGAAATTGTTTTTCTTTTCAATTTTAGGTGCTAATGAGCATATAAGGCACGGAATATAGGCAACATACGCACCAGTATCTGAATGATCCTGTCTTTGTCTCAAGCCAAAATCTGTTGCGCAGCTACGAACAGTATGATGTGCGAACTCAATGGTACTCACGTTTCCCATTCGATGGAGTCACCCGCAATTTGTGGCAACGTGGACGTTCGTGAGCTCATCAACATAGATAATGTGATCTTCCAAAGTCACTTGAGAGTAATGTTTCCTATAGAACTTACCATGGCAATTATCGGCTTCATAGAAAATGTCATCTCCCTGGCTGCTCTCCTTTGTATTCAACGCCCATGGAAACCATTTCATTATATTCTTATTAACATAGCATTGGCCGATTTGATATACATGGGGTTAACTATAGCTAATTGTGTACTCATAGTGCGCATGCAGGTGTATGAAAAACCCATCAAACAAATAGGAAACTTCGACTGCAGTGATGACATACTAGAAGATATGTGTCGCCACTTTACATTGGTACCGTTGTACTGCACCACGGGGGCGGTGATAAGCCTGTACCTGGCTGTCACACAGCCACTGAAGTACAGGTCCCTGCTGACCAAACATCGCATCACCATAGTGATGTCTCTGTGTTACGCTGCGACTATTGGGGTTTATATCAGCCTGCACGCGCGGTACACGCAGTTCAAGGTTTACTGGTACATACACGACTGCTGGACTTACCTGTACGATCACTACCTTCAGGCTTCCAGTCTGTACCTCGGTGTGTCGTGCTTGGTTTTGTTCGCGGCAAACATCTTACTATGGTGCCTTATAGTTAGAAAAGCTCGCTCCCCTGAGGCGACACACTCATCTGGAAGAATACAGACAGGTAACGGCCAAAGGAAAAAGAAATTATTTGCAACTGTTTCCGTGCTACTTGCCACAAATGTGATTTTCTGGACGCCCGCGGTGTGCACTTTCTTTTTCATATATTACATGGCTTTGGAAAGGAACGACCCAGTGAGCGTGGACATCGTCATAGCGCAGTCCGTGACCAGTTTCGTTTCCGAATGTAACAGCCTAGTGAATCCGATAATCTACGGAATCCGGTTACCGGATGTGCGGCTTGGGTATCGCAGACTTGCTCTGAAACTTTTGGGCGATGAGCAAGCCCTGAAGAGACTCGATGAGGTGTCCCACGTTACTAATCGGGGCTTACCTCTGAATAACTTACAGACATAAAAATGGCTACAATGGATTACTGGCTATGAAAATTTGCTTCTACAAGAACCTAAATTCATATAATAATCAAATATGAGACTTACTCTTGAGATCAATAGCCCTTTTGTCGATCACAAACGAAGTAATAACTTTTCACTCACGTGAGAAGTTTGACGTGCCATCATCCATCTTCATCAGTCTCGGAGTGACACAGTACTCCACGCCCCCTGCCCCACCCACCCCCTTAGTGCCGCGGCTGTAGTGCTAAGAAGTCATCGTACAGGCGTGGGAGAGAGTACAGTGTATCTACCTTCGTCTCACTAATATTTTTAAAGATCTAAGACTTGCTCTCTAGAAGGGTCGGTGTGGCGTTACCTTACTGGAGTCACGTTCAAGTTTCCTGCACACTCTGTCACTTGATTATCACATGCCTAAAAAAACTAGTTTATTACAACATGATACCGGTACCGCCAGAGGGGGTAGATTAGCCTGATGGTTGTACATGTCCGCCTACTTTCCGAATCAGTATTCTACGGGTGCCTTACTTTTTTTTATTGCTGTCCCCACTTTTTCAGATGTCATTGCAATTTTGAAACCACAATGAATAATTTGTTTATTCATTTTGATAATTTCATGCAGCTATATCTGGATGTCTTCTGCTCACTATTTGAACTTCTGAATGTGATACACAGTGATGGATTAAATATCCTCTGAGCCAACTAAATGCAGTCAAAATTGAACTAATGACAACCTACGTGTACAATGAGGCTTAAGCCAAGGATTTGCACTAAAGGAGAAATTATAACAGTTCTATTTTGTTCTTGGACATTATAACGTTATTTTGTCCATGTTTTCTTTAATGGTTATTTTGTAAGAAACTGAAGCCAAAAAGTTTCGTCTTGTCGTAGTAAAAGTAAGCACCCTCTCCCAATCACTTATTTTAATGAAACATTTTTATTTCATTATTTATTTATTAATTAATTTTTATTTATTTTATTATTTAATTTTTATTTAATTTTTATTTTATTTATTTATTTTTTTTTTAATTAATTGCCCTCATTTCACTGTCACTTATAATGTGGAATTAAGAAGCTTTATTACTTCCAGTGTGGCCGGTGTGTATATTTTTGAAAGGAAAGGAAAGAAAACTAGAGGCAGGCTGGTGATTACAGTATTCATTATTAAATAGCTAAATAAAATGTTTTTATAAAGATATGTGTATTTTGCAACACTAATAACACCAGTAAGTAAATAAAGAGAAATTACAAAGACGTAGAATTTGGATAAGTGAAGTAAAAAGTATAAGAATAGCACACATTGAACTTTTGAGAAATAAGTCGGTGCACGTAACAGTGTACAAAAGTGCGTGTAGATAAGGCCTTGACGGTAAACACCCCACAATGAAAACAAAATAATTTTATTAAACACACAAGGCAGATACTAATGATAATTGTGAGTTAGGGAGCGAGGTTTATTTTTTGGGTGTGACGTCGACTTTTAGGTTTTTCAGCCTCAGAGAGGGTTGAATGTTTTCAATTTCGACAAGGATGTTGTCCAGAAAAGAAGGTTATCGAAAAAAATGTGTTCCTGACAAATAAAATATCAGTCATAACGTGATTGGTGTAACCTGACCGCGCGTGGTGGGATGGTAGCTTTGAATACACCCGTCTCTTAAATAATCACTCATATGTTTATTATGGCGATGTTTTGGTTTGCTCTCTTTTGTCAGTGAAATTGCCCGTGTCAACGACAAATCCTCTTTCATAGCTGTTACGTTTTCCCTGGCTTGTCCAGAATGCCAAAAGGGAAGGCAACCAATTTATTTATTTATTTATTTATTTATTTATTTAAAATTATTATTTAATTTTCGGTCAAATGTCGGTGTCCGACTGGTCAGCTTTGATTTAGTAAACTAAAAGAAGCCGTACAATTGGTCTAATTCACCACGGAATTTGTACCCGGAATTTGAAGTAGGGTATGGAACATCCTGGATATTAATGATCTAATAAATCATTTTCCTGACATACCTGTATGTCGTTTTTGGAGTACGTGTCACTGTTTCCTCGTAAATTTATCGTTGAGGAGCATTGCTTTTAAAATTACTTCCTGAATATCAAACAACATTTTAGATAGAGCAAGTGATTCATTGCGGGGTCGCCAATGCAAACTACTTATACAGCAAGGGAAAAATTTGATAGAAAACGACATTTTTCTTCAGGAGGTCTGAGCGCCTGGAGAGTGAGAATACTCAACGCAGATTCACGCACTGTTTTCCAAGACCATAGGGGGCACTTTGTTCTTCTTAGATTCCAAATTGTTAATTTTATCAAATACAAAAAAATTCTCCGAGACCTGAAATTATTTACACCAGAAGTCGATTTTTAGTGGAGGGCGTACAAATGTACACATGGCATATTGTGGCAATAAAATACAAATGATCATGATTAATTATATTTTCTATAACGCAGTGAGTGTGATTTCTCCCTCTCGCAGAAATAAGACAATGCTGACCTGAGCTCATTCATTTTAGGGAAGGAAGTGAGTTTCAGTTTTTCACATTTTCTGAAAACGGCTGGAAGAGTGAATTCATCCTTCTGCAAACATCTGTAAACATTTGCCAATGTATATTAAAATACACGATTGAGGATATTTAGAAACTATTTTACTAAGAGGGTGGAGGTAGAGAGAAGTTGGCTTTTTTTTTTCAAAAATGGCTCATGGTCTCGTTGGGATGCCATTGTGCAAATAAATTAGGCACCCTGTCATCGCTCACCACACCGAGACCCACCAGTTGTTAAAGGGGAACAAAAAATGGTGGAGTTAGGACGGCGGTCATATCCACAACTCTGTTTCCATTACCTAGTTGCATGTACCACAATAATTTTTTTTAAATCCCACATCCGCCTGCGCCCAAATTGCCTAAGCGGTTTATTACTGTCCACAATTGCATAAATTTTAAAATGTATTTTAATACAAAAATATTAAAATACTTATACAAGAAACAAGATACAAGGGACTTCTTTCCGTATGAATTTATGTTTACTTTCATGACATATTGATAAATTGGATTATTAATGAGGGTACTGTCGACGGAATTTCCCGAATTTACAAAAAGTGACACACACCAAACAGGACAAGGGAAGGGTATAAAAGAGACTTACTTACAAGACCACTGAATATTCAGTGAACAATAACCTTAAAGCTGTCCGCATCAAAGGAGAGAAAACATGAAGATGAAAGGATCGTTATTCAATATTTTCCACTTAAAAGGTATTTATTTATTTATTTATTTATTTATTTATTTATTTCATCTATCCATTTGTTTGGTTGTAGGAGCTACTGACACTGGCCTTAGCAAAGGAGTAAGGTTATTATTACAAAATCTGGATTTCTGGAAAAAGGACCGATATTACCTTGGCTGATTGTCACATTTAATAATCCTTAAAGGATTGTTAAGAAATTTTTTAAAATTAAAGACATGATCAAAATATGAATTCAACTGTGCACCTAAGATATTAGAACACCTGCACCGGTCAAGTGAAGACACATTTTATTCCTTCATCAGCGTCCTATGATTTGTGCTCTGTCGAACGTGTGCTTTACATGTGCGCGATTGAAAACGTACCATAGTCATATCGTTATGGCTAAATGTCATGCAAAGCTACTGATCTCTCCTAAAAGATAAAAGCCCTCAAATGAAAATACCTGACTATTCGACCCTCCACTTTGAAATGCCAGGAAGACTACATGTATGAACTAAGCTGATCAAGTAGAATTGGTACCAACATCAAATCCGAGTAAAGGGACGGTCGAGCAAAGATTTGCGAGAAGGAGTGCATTGTTTTTTTTTTTTTTTCTTCAATAAAATAACAATTTGTGCGAAAATCCCGTTTGTGATAATTTCAAGTTTTAGGCATTTTTTCTCCTACGGTCGGTGTACGTGTCAACATTGGCCACTCAAACCTTGAAACGTGATCATAGTGACACTGCCCTAAACACTCCCAAATTTTTTATTACCTTTAAGGCCGTTAACCTCTTTCGGGGCTGTGGGGTGTTATTCTTCAACTTCAAACGTGTGGCAAACGTCCAAATTAATGAGTGTTTAGTGTAAACCGTATTGACCCAAGACGGTTTCGTTTGTCAAATCCCATCCATAAATAGTTGACTACACCTTTGTCACTGATGGATCTAGAGTATTGTTAAGACCGGCACAGTGAAGTTAAATGAATAGTTTTAAAAAACCGAAGAAGAGGGGAATTTTACTACAATATATAAAGCAGAGAGTTGGAACATTCTCTTGCTTTTTTTTTTCGCACGTTTTATGTTTTTTCGAGAAAGACACCCTCCGAGTTCGTACATTGTGTAGCTTTGCGCCCCCTCCACCCCCCCACCACCCCCAATGAATCCAAAGTTGCTGATCAACCCACCTTGAGTTATAACAATGATCAGTATTGCGACATATCCGCCTTCTTTCAGCGACAGTTATACATGCCAGTAAAACGAAGACTTTAGGCAGTCAAGTGCAAAAGGCAAACACGCTTACAAAATACAAGCACTGACATTAACACAAGCTTCAAATGAACGCCTGATGTTGTTCTAAGGCAAGATCACCTTATACATTGGCCCTCAGTTTTTCTTGAAGCACATGCGTAATATCTGTTTTTTACTAGTCAAGTGTCATAGCATTTTTTCAACAACAGCTGAAACATGTTGACCCGATTTCCAAACTGTACTCTCAAAATGTCAAGGTCAAGTGAAATATAGTAAAATAAAAGGCTTGACACTGAATAACCATTTGACATACAGGAAAAAAAGATATTATTAAAAGAATAGAATACTGAAAGAGAAAGAACCTACTACAGGCCCCTACGTATTTCTGGATGACTTACTTTTCAACATGGTCGCCATATTTGTTTTGTAACAAAATCCTACGGTCTCATAAGTGTCTTAAAACAGTGTCCTAAACTTCAGGTCCGATGATTTAAACAGCATGTGAAAATAACATTCAGTTTTAATAAACCTTAAGTTTTTACTCAAAAAGTTCAAAACAGGTTTATTCGTTAACAAATGAGAAGTTTGCCTCTAGAAAATATATACAGAC